TCTCTCTCTATATATATATATATATATATATATATATATATATATATATATATATATATATATTATATTAAAATATATAGCTATACATAGCTAGGTCGTCTACGATAGCTATTTACTACCCTTACTTACATTCTTCCTGCCCATTCCATAAGGCTTGAATGCATTAGGGATGCAAGGTGGAAATGATTCTTTATGTGGATCTTTCAACAATCACCCTTGTGCGTCCAATTTTGATAACAGTGACGCGCGAAAAATTTTGGAAAATAATTAATCTCAAAAATTGTCATCGAGAGAAAAAAGAATTCTTTGGCAATATGTATTTTTAGAACGCGTAGCATAGAGATATATTGCAGAACTAGAGTGTCTGGTCCAGAGTAAAGAAACAGGTCCATAAATTTAGATCAGGACAAAATTGAAATATGTAAAACAGGCATTGTGAAGAAATACAAAAAAAAATATATATAATTAAATTATTTTATACAAGTATGATGCATGTCTTTTCAAAAATTACTTATAACGGTAGAAGACAAAAGACTTTGTGGTGATAACAAGATTTAAGGGAAATCAGGATAAAATCTGGTAGCAGCAACCATATAAGAATGGACTCGGATGAACTATGTGGTATTATCAATTAGTGACGTCATTGGGTCTATTGTCATCGCAGCACCGCCATTTAGCCTGTGACGCATTTATTTTCAAATCTCTTCCTTATTCGGTATAAACGCACGAACTGAAGTTAGCTCTGATATAGTATAGAAGTCATATAGGCGCCAACTTCAGGCAGTACCTCTGTGACGTAATATTTTGTATAAGGGTAGTTTTGTCTGACAGTTTGGTGAATTAGAACAAAAGAAGGACAGACAGGCATAAGTTGAAAGATAAGATAGAATAGAAGATGAATAAGGGAGACAGATGAAAACTAGTAATGGAGGTAAGAGAAGGGCTGCCAACTTAAGTAGCATAATCGTTTGACCCCCCGTTTGACACACGACTCATTTCCACGTGTCATAACCAGGCCTTCCGGTTTCTTGACTTTCTGAATCTGTCGCTTCTGGCTACGGGACTTGCCATAACCTCAAAGAGACCTTTCTTCGGTCGAAGCATCCTGCCACTGGGACTGTCAGGTGTTGATTTCAAATGCATCCACCTATCAGAATCGACTTTTGATTATTGAAGAATTTTGCAAAAAGAAATATAAAAATAAATTTTTCTTTTTTAAATTCTAAATAAATTAGAATATTCCAGGGAAGCTTACTATCATCCTGGTACTGATAACTTCTAGGATGAGTCTAACAGGATGAAAGATAACAGGATTACAAAGCAATTTGCATAACCTTCACTGACTATTTTACTATCCAAGATGGCCGGGGTACCTTAACTAATTGACAGTGTTGATCAAATTTTCATTATTATATTCCAAAATTACTGTGTATCTCAGACCGAGGAGACAGTCAGTTGCTAATAACTGAAAAGGTCAGAGATATTAAATTCGAATTTTTATTTGTGAACTATTCACACAAAAATTTGGAATTTCTTCTACGTGTCTCTCGTGCCCCTTTTTAACCCACGTTCCTACGTATATACTGTTCGACCCTTGTAGCCGTCCTATGTCCCATACAATCCTTCTTTATTCCTTCACTTTCATCCCTCAGAGGGCAGACATACCGACTGGGTCTATACTACGTAATAAATAGTCGATTCGATTGAAACGTACGAGCAATTCAGTAGGTAGAAGCAATAGGAGTGAACATTTGAATTGACATCCAGTATTAAATTTGTCTCTCTATGAGTTCTCAGTAACTTTCATTCGCACGCAGTTTTCGGAATATATATATATAAAAAAAAAATAAAAGTAAAAAAATAAATTTAAAAATCGATACCGGATACGAATGGGTGAGCGAAAGAGAGAATGAAAAAGAGTGAGAGGGCAGGCGAACCAGAAGGGAAATAGAGAGCCAGAGATGGGAAGAGTATCCTACAGGTAAAGTAATTACTGGTGTAATTCGCTTAGCGTGCAATATCGCGCGACAAAGTGGAGACATGAAGCTGGCCACTCTCATCACCCCTCTGCCTTACTCTCCGTTCCCCTCTTTCACCCTTTATCAGGTTCGACGTCGACAGGGTGGAACCTCGGCCGACGCTACCAGTGAGTTAAATGCGAGTAACTGTATTACGCTACTCTCTCCACTCTGTTAGTTGCCTCCTGTTACTCTGGGTTAGTTGCGCGTTAACGTGCGAAGAAATACGAATTTTCCCCGTAGAATAAGTTTTGCCTTGATTTTCAGGAAAATTGGCAGATTGCTCCCCCGTGACGTCATCTAAAAGAAAAGTATCGAACATTTGGTTTCACGATTTTTTTTTTTATAATTATAACAATAAAAATATAATATTACTAGCTAGTACTATTACTACTGCTGGTTACTATTGGTACTGTCTTTTCATTAAGGGATGCAACTGGATCCCTTGACAATGAAAAAAAATATATATAATCCTACGCGTTAGAAGTTTCGTGGCCTACTTGTTGAAGCTGGAAGCAACAGTTTGCTCTTTAAGCTCAACCCTCTACGAGTTGGATTCTCTCTTTCGAGAGCGGATGGTGGGAAGTTAAGGGTAAGCAAGGGAGGTAGGGCAAGATATAATGGTAGATCAGCTGATACTATAGAGGTAGTTAATGCCTAGTAATATAATTCTATAGTCACGGATAGGAGTTTGATGAAGGTTGTGGAAATTGGAGGATGCGGCACGAGTCTGCTCTTTCCCACCCTTAGTCAACGGATGATTTCGTTCAGGCACACTATTCCGATTGTGAGGGTAGCGGTCGATGACAATAGAGGTAGGAAGTCGCGAAGAGATTCGTGTGGAACAAGAGCGGATCTTGTTGAACTTTCTGACGATCCTCGCCAACGTCTTAGATTAGGAGTTCGAGTCGCCTTTCTGATTGAGCTATTCACTCTATGGCAACTGCATTGACTCATGGCGCTTTTCTACACTACTACAAACCCTACCCACTAATTGCCTTTAAACTCAGCCGGTAACTTTCCGACAATTGACAACCGTAGTGAAAATTAACCTTTGATTTTCTTACTCGACTAATATAAAGATTTAACAAGGTTATTCTGGTGTGGAAAGGAACTAAATTTTTTTATTTTCACTATCACTTTTATCCATTGTCAATGGTACTCGTTCGATCCAAATAACCCGTACAGCATTAACCACTAAGTGCAGTACAGTGTATTTCGAATTGACGTAGAAGATCGCAGTAAACTGAAGTGCGATGACATTGGAATTACCATAGCCTTTTGGAAAGTGATCTAGTTTACAGAATATCCCTAGAAATTCCCTAGCAGCACTAAAGATACATAAGACGTAATAAAAGTATCAATACTTTAGTAGCACTGGTGTCATCGGAAGGACGTGATGAAAAAAAGGTTAGTGCTACGGTATATATTAAAAAATAAAAAAAAATAAAAAGAAAATGGCACTGTCACGCTTCACAATAAATTTTAAGGGTTATGACGGCCGACAGGACTTTTCTATTAGTCCTGGATTATTTTCCGACGGGGGTTGCGCTTACTACGCTTACTGCCCACAAGGGTGAGGGATTTGACTTTGGCGATGGTTAGATACACCAGGATTACGTAGGGGTATACTGCATTATACGGTATCGTATAATAATGGAGAGCCAAGGGTGGAGAATGACAGACTGAGAACAAGAGCGGCGACTAGGGGCTATAGTTGTGCGGTCAGAGGGATGATAGCGGTGGATTTTGATAATGAGGTCAGATGAGTAGGCAGCCCCGACGATATCACTTCATCATACGTCACGCGTCCGGTATAACCTGTCAACGGCAAAGCCGAACCAATCGACTGGTTTCAACCCCTTACCAATACAAAATCCCCCCCCCCCGACTCTAGCTCCCGCGGGTACGCTTCAACCCCTTTGACAATAGCCACCCTTTTGATCGCTACTCAAGCGCTTCATTTCGATATGCTCCATTCACTGATGCTTCCACATATCGCCTATGCTATTATTCAGACATGTATATATATATATATATGTCTCTGTTATTTAGAAAAAATCAACGCCGCGTACGATGTTGTGAAATAATTTGAATTTTCCATTATAATTGTTTCCCCCAGCGTGAAGGAACTGTGAAAATAGATGGGGATGATAAAGGAATGAATAAGGGTAGAAAAACGGGGGTGGAAAAAGTAGTAGGAGTACGATCTGGATTCTTCTGGAAAATAATGACGGATCCCAAGGGTATGTTCTTTCAGGAAAATGCTGATTGCTCCCCCGACAATCTACTACCCTACGTCGCCGCTCAACCCACCTTCTCCTCTACGTTCATCTTCTTTTAGTCTGTCAATTTGCTATTCCTCATTTAGGATGAGCCAATCCGCTTTCGCGCGACTATTAATCTCGATTAATGAGATTTTTAGATACTATTACACTCGGGCGAATCGCATTGACATTATTAAGTATTACAGGCTTGATTAGCTGTTTCTCAAAAGAGACTGAAAGTCTTTTGTACGTATAGCTACTGTTATTTATCCAAATTCGACTCCTCTAACGGGGGTTGTAGAGGAGTAGCTACGTTTGGTACTGCTAAAAGCGCAGAATCCTGAGAAATTTTGTAAGGAGTGAATATTGAGTTTAGAATTGGTAAGTAAGTTATCTCGGATGAAAAGGACTGTAAGGGGCCTTTAATTAGTTATCAGAGTCTAATGCAATTAATACGTTAAGGCGATAAAAGAATGAGTCAATGAATGAATTAAGAAAGAAAAAAAAAAGAGAATGAAAATTCAAAAGACCGTTGCTCGAATTTTCATTCAATTTAGAAAATTTAGGCAGTCCTGCTTTCCCTGGTTATTTTCAAGAAATATAAAAAAAAAAAGTACAATATGTAATGACACTCAATTCTCACTCTGCTTTCTTCGTCACCCTCCTTTTTTCTTTAATACTCTCTTACAGCCCTCTTGAACCCCTAAATATGAAAAGCACTCAAGGCCCGTTTCCTCCAGCAAAGAATTGTAGCAAAGAAGTCGAACAATAATCGTCCCTTCGATTTTACCGTACATGTAGGAGTGGCAGGAAAAGCAAGAGAGAGTAAGAGGGGCCTAATACGAGAGAAAGATAAAGATAGGAATTGAACCTAAGTGAGAAAGGGTGAGCGAAAGTACAAATGCCTGAGGATTCCTCCAATTTATGTCGATTTGGTCTGACCGACTTTAAGAGTGGATGACGCCGAAGTTTAAAGTTTTCTCGAATTTCGAGTGAAGGAACGAGACTCCATGAGTCGAGATAACAGTACAGAGAGAAAGTAAAGAAAAAAGAGAGAGAGCATCTCTCTAGTACAGGACTTTTCACCTAAAAATCCTGAAACCTTATCGAATCGGTAGTGGATACAGAGCCTTCAGTATCCAACAGCAATTCCAGGGTGTGAAAGGGGTCCTCGCCGTCGCCATCAAGAGATCCAATTAAAAGCCCATCGTCGAAGGAAGTTTGCACAGTTTACGAACCTGGTTGGCGCAGGGTTCGTCTCGTGTACGAGCTACGCAAAAAGCAGTAAACTCTGCGCTAGCTATTCTACCGATGGACTCTGTGATGACATTGCTGGAAATCAGCACGAAGCAGCATCTTTCCTAAGATCAATCTTCGTCGACCCTCCTTCCGCTAGGTAGTTGAACAATCAACAGCCACCAAATCCCCAGCCAAACACTGAATCTTGAGCAGACACTGTAGTAAAGGTTACGTGATAAATTACTATTTGGGTAACCTTAATGGAAGAGACAATAGGAACTGTTGATTAATTTTTTCAGTACGACCATACCTGATGTCCTGACTATCTGTTCACAGAGCAGCAGGACCAAGTAGCGCACAGCAGGAAGAATGAAGAGGTTAATGGGTGGACAATGGAGCGGTTGGCTACAGCGATGTCGGGAATCACGAGGACTCGTCCTGGTGATCGTTGCCATTGCCCTGCTGCTGGACAACATGCTGCTCACCACCGTCGGTAAGTACCTAAGAATATGATAATGTATTTAGGAACGTCTCCAAATATAGGAAATTGGCGTTAATTATTTAGCAATTTGTTGAAAATCATTTTTTCACAAATAATCGACAGACTCTCCATTTTCCAATCTCATTCTCCAATGACTCTAGTTCTCTCACACGCACCTCGCTAGCACTTCTTATTTCTATTACTCTCTTATTCATACTTACACTCCTTTAGTAGTTCCTCTAGTTCACGCATCCGATCACCCATTGGATCTCACATCTCTTAATCATTTTTAGAACCTTCGGTCGATAATCTCTCATAAAGATTCTCGTATAAATATTCTTACTCGTGCAATCTTTTTTGAACTCTAGCACGAGCTAACTTTACGTATTCTTTTATTTGAATCTTTGACCATATACGCAGCACTGATTCCTAAAAGTATGTATATATTATTATTGTTGTTGTAATTATTATTAATTTACTGTGAAAGTGACTGTCAAAGAAATGTCTCATAAAGCACCAGAAGATGTATCCATTGGATACGTCTCTATAACTTTTAACAGCTTGGCATTGGGTTTCTTTTCTCTCTTTGTCTTTTATACTCTTTGTTATATTTCTGGCCACTGATTCTCAAAGAGACTGAAAGACAATGTGGAACAAAGATAACACGCGGAAGCGAAGGGATCGTTAGAATTCGCAAGGAAATGAGTACTTCGTTCTTTTAAATTTGAAACTCAGGACAGTCGTCAAAGGGATAAATTTCGAAAGGCAAGGGACAATTGACCAATTCCTTGTAATCAGTTTCTTATTCCATTTAGATGAGATTTTGCACGAAAGAAGCGTTACGGTCTGTCAGGTTATTAATTCCGGTGTAAAGGCAACGTAAACTTATGTCGCAAGAACGATGGATGTATGTATATAGACATCCTGTGTAAAAAGGAAGGCTAAAAAGCCACTTTCAACTCTTTGAGTTTTTACTGAATTCTCAACTCATGGAACGTCACTTCCAGTAATGGGTCAAGTATTCCGTGGGAGTTTGTTCCACAAAATTCAGTATCTGAGTAGTCGGTAGGGATTTCAGAGCGATCCAGCAACTGCAATGATAATATAGTAAGAATCGAATAAAAACAAAGTATAGTCAGTTCTTTCCTTATTGGAATTATGATACAGGAATAAAAGGAATGAAACGTAAATCTTAGCAAGTCGCACTTATCCGATCTATGTGGTATATTCTTCGATGCAATAATTATCGATAATAATCCCCCAAGAGATTTTTCTCGAAATTGCCGATCGTATTACGTAATACGGATGCGTATAATGCTTTCCGGCAATCTGGATTTTCATTTAATAATATCAGATACCCGCTAGGATCAAATTCCCGGACAAATGGAAGACAAAGGGTGGAATCAGTGAACTAGACTGAGAAAGAGAGAAAGATAAAATAGGAAACCCGCCGGATAAGAAACGTTATATAGGTAACGATTTTTCCTTCGTAGGAAAAACAATATCCCCAGGGACAGTAAAGGGCTTTACTTTTCTTTTGTGCGATACGGTGGGATTTCCTGCTAGGAAGCTCAATGCCCATAGTGAACGTACATTCTAAAATTGTGAATATTTTATTAGAAAAGCGACTCCCGATCGTTTTACACGTACAGTAAAATTTTTTATCCGTTGGGTTTCTGAGCTGTGAAACATTAGTAGCTTACCTATCGATATTTACTGCTAGTAAAGCCATGTTCTTGTTTAGTTGCGTGCAAAATGAATAAGACACAACCTTGTTCACAGTACTATCTTTTTCTTCCGTTTAGTCATTTCGTAAAATATAAGATTTAACCAAAAGTAACAATCACGGAACATTATTTGAATCCATGTAAGATTATTCCATCGGATTGAAACGCACATCTCGTATAACTGTCTTTACTGATCATTAGTGTTGGAACAATAATTAAATATGAGTTACATGGGAGATATATCAACAATATTTCTTCCTCTGTCCCACCGTCACGTGACCGTGCAGTCAACGATCGCAGCGCGCCACGCGGCTGCGAATGAAATAAACAATGGCTTTGTTATGTGTGACAACCCCCGCCACGCTAGTCTGACGACCTGTATGTAAGGACGTGGCCGTGACCGTTGATGGTGCAACAAATGATTGCGCGAATCGTAAGCAAAAGTTTAGCTGAGCAGTGATACTTAGATTTAGAATTATAATTCGGTTATAATTACTTTGTGACATAATCTGTGAACGTGTGATTTGCTTAACACGCTTACTCAGTGCCTGAACGAGTGTATTATTCTGCATAACAATTGGTGTTTAACTAAGATAAATTTATATTCAGTGGCATCTGCATAGCTACGATAATAAAATCATCTATGGTAAACCTTCAGAGAATTTGCCGGATAAATCTGGACAAGGTGAACAATGGAGCTGTGGGAGGGATGGAAGCATCGATGCCATTGTCGATGTTCCCTATTACGCAATCGGGACCCTTCGAAAGCCTGTGAATTTCGGAAAATTAAATTGCGTCGAGGGTTCCTGCCCATTTTAATTGTGACCCATGACGAGTGACGATAATTGAAAATCGATTATACTTATCTTGGCCACTTACGATGCCACGAGGAATTTCATGAAATTTTGCAGAAGTGTAAGCGCTTTGTAAAGTTTTCTCCTGTTTTTCTCTTTCTCTTTTACTCTCGGTCGTCACGTCATTTTATTATGAAATTAGATCCAAGTGATGCACGTACTTCTCGAAAGTTTGTTTAAACAACGACTCGATAAACACCGAGGACGATTCATTCTAGGATGCTATCAATTTTCTTCTTTTAATTTGTATCTATTTCGCTTAACGGATACTTCGTTGATAATTTCTGTCATCCAAGTTGCCGCTAGTTAGACAACAAAGGACCTTTTTTTATCGCACAAATTGACAAGCTTTCGGTAACAAGCACGTTCTATTTTAAATTCATATTATTCATTGGAAACAGTATATTCAAAAATAGATACTGTAACGTAATTCTTTTTCTTGACCTGACACTGATAGCAAAACATCCGAGAACAAACTATCTTCGAGAACCAACCTACGTTACCTTCGGCCGTCCACCCGTCGTTCGTGCATCCGCAAGCCAGGCGGCCGCCAGCCAATTCT